GTCCTGACGACAGCTAATACCCGTCGAACTTGACTTTGTGGTTAGTTTTATAGTTGTTCCATTATTAAGTATAAGTTATGTCATATGACATGTCATAATCGTGCTATTTGGCGTTCTGTTGTCTCTGCCTACGCCAATCGGAGAGAGGCGTGATGAGATATATGTATACATGTATGAAATATCATGATGTAATCAGACTTAATTGTAACATTAAATTTTTATCATAATTCAGTAGAATACTATTGACTAATATAATGTTGAAATTAATATTCTTAATATAGCTGGCAATGGTTGAATGAGAAGGACTGAAGATATTCAACCAGTCAGGTTGGGAGTACCTAATTATGAATAAGCCAAGAAAAAGATGTGCACAGCTTGGCAAAAAACAGTTCGTAATAATAGAGGTCGCCAGTATCGTACCTGTGGCGACCTCAATCGGTTTTGATATTTGTTATTTTTATAGAGTTTAAAAAGAGAAGCTACTATGTTCGATTGATTGTTTATTCATGCGGTATAATAGTCCGAAGTAGGCGATTCAGTCCAAGGCAATGTTAGTTCCAGCTGTCATAGCGTCAAACTCTTTTTTGCCAAACTATACGTAATGAAGTGGGATCCCCAAAACACACAACTGCGTTGCGTCGGCGCAACGCTAAAATCGGTAGTTTGCGTTGCGGCGTCGTGAAAAAGAGCGTTTTATTGTCGTTCGGTAGGGTAACCAGTTCGTCGTAATTTTTTATTGTGGATAGACGTGTCTTTGCCATGGACCATCGTGAAAAACTTATTGCTTATTTGTTATTAAGAAGACATTCCTCTGCTGTGCTGGAACGAGCGCAGCGTTGCAGAATCGACAGTAGCGTCACTGCCGATTTAAGCGGCGCGGCGCCGCAATGCCGTTATGTGTTTTGTCCCTTAAACTGTCAAACACCAAGCGGTCACCGGTGACCGCAACCTATTGTTCTATAATTGTGTCTATGATGACGGTACTCGACGAGTTAATGTTCTTTTATCACTCTTGAGAGAGTGAATTTGGTCTTCAAATCATAAGTGGTGGCAGTATTTATTTATTGACACTTTTTGCACAATGGGTATACAATGGCGGACTTAATGCCTACTAGTGGCATTCTCTTGGAATTTATTCCAGCACTGTTTCCCAGTCTGGCCATCCGTTTGTGACTATTCGTGAAGTGAACTGTTGAGTGCAGTTTTATTTGACCGGTTGCCGCGAAACGTGTAGAGGGTTCGATTCCGCACGGAGCGACTCTGTCTGATCCGATCCACAAATTGTTGTTTTGGGTCTGGGTATAAGGTGTATGTGAACTTGTATGTTTGTAAACGCAAATACGCTGCAAGAGAAATTCCCTAAAAGAGAATGCCTTAAACTGTCAAACACCAAGCGGTCACCGGTGACCGTGACCTATTGTTCTATAATTGTGTCTATAATGACCGTACTCGACGAGTTAAGGCATTAAGTCCGCAATTCACTGTTATCTTTGGTGAAGAAGTAATATTAAATAAAAAAAAATTCTAGTGCAGGGTAACGTTTATTCAAAAAAAATAAATTTGGTCAGACCAACTCATTTGTGATGTGCAGGTTGTAATGTCATTGTCAATTTAAAACCATCGCAGTTCAAGTCATTATTTGTGGGAATGATCTCGACCAATAACGAGCAAGTATGCGATCGAGTTGACTTCAAGAGTTCGAATTGACATCTTGTTGAATAGCCTACCTGCATTTGATTTTGACCATTCGTGAAGTGGACTCTTGGGTGCAGTAAGGTACTTGCCGACTAATCAAAATCAATACTTTTTTCGAACTGTCAAAAACGACAGTTTTCTATGAATTTTTTACGAGATTATGCATTCATCATCGAGAGCACGATCTTGCTTACAATGTAAGGAAGACGGAAATGGTCGTCTTTGGATCGAGACAGGGGCCCGGAAATGTGCCGGAGCTGCGCTTAAATGGGCATACTGTGAAAGTTGTTCAGCATTTCAGGTACCTGGGTCATATTGTAACCTCCAACCTGAAGGATGATGAAGATATAGAGCGACAGAGACGAGCTCTGTGCGTGGTGGGCAATATGATCGCCAGAAAATTTTGTAGTGCTGCGCCTGACGTGAAAGTAACACTGTTTAAATCATTTTGTCAGACGTTCTACACGTGTCAACTCTGGACTAATTATACAAAAAAATCGCACAATGCCATCAGAGTCACATACAATAACGTCTACAGGCAACTCATGGGACTACCGAGAGGTTGCAGCGCTTCGGGGATGTTTTTTGACGCTCGTATTGACACCTTTAATGCCATACAGCGCAAAAGGATAGCCTCCTTTATGTCCAGAGTTGGCATGTGTAAGAATGGTATTGTTAGGAGTTTAGCTGACCGCCTGCATTTGACTGCCACGTACAGACGATGGTTGGCTATAGTCACCTAATTTGCATTTTTTTTTCCCAATTATTGTATTATTAATCAATTTATTTACATTTACATATACAATTATTAATTTGAATTTTTATTTTTATTTGAATTTTTTTATTTTGTTATATTTTATAATTCTATTTGTATTAATTAACTACTGTGCATGTAACTATGGATCTTAGAGTCTGAAATAAAGAGTTATTATTATTATTATTATTATTATTATGACGTCACGTTTTTTTAACGTCAAACAGCATTTCTTAAAAAAATGCGGGATAAATACTAATATTAAGTTGGTCTTAAATCAATTAATGAAAGTGTGATTATTTTTTTATATTTTATTGTATTGAACAGTCGAACTAATTTATTTTTGATTAAGGCAAGTACCCAATTTGGTCCGACCAACTCTTTTGTGATGGATTGTTAAGATAGAATCGTAGCAATTGGCTTTCCATAGTCTCCGTCTGCCTACCTTGGGAGACAGGCGTCAGGTTATGTTTGTATAGAGGTACGTTAATATAGTGTTTCAATTAAGAATTTCGATAGTATTCAGATCTCATTATTGAAGTAGGTAAAAAAAACAAGTACTTAATCTGCATAATATTATTTAATTGTGCTAATTATAAATATTTATTTACATTTTAAAACATTGTATCGAAGTATTTGATATTGTCTCATGTATTCTTAATAAAATCTATTATATTCTATATAATAATTATAGAAATAATATCACAGTTATAATTTATTTACAATTAGATTTATATGTAATAGGTACTTATAATTTAAATACTTACAATAAATCTCAGAACAATGAGATGCTCCGAAATTAACTAAAAATCGCGGGTTACTCACGTGAATGTACTGAGAAGTATATCCTTACTTAATATTATAAATCGGAAAGTGAGTTTATTTGTTTGTTTGTTTCCGCTTTCACGCCGTAACTACTACACCGATTGCTTTGAATTTTTGCAGACGTAAAGTTAGAAGTCTGGATTAAATAATAGGGTACTTTTATTCCGGAAAAATTTGATATTCTCGAGGGACAACGAAATTATTGGTATAGATGGCGCTGTGTGTATTGGTATATGTCATATAGACTACTTTTTATCCTTTTGTGACGCGAGCGAAGCCGCGGGTAAAAGCACTGAAATATACTGAGAGAGGGGTTCGTAGGCTGCGCGACGTCGCCGCGACCGCGCACGCTGCTCATAAGGAAGAAACCCTCTGTGGTTAGAAACTAGTAGAGCTTTTCTCAGTATATTCGCGTGAGTAACCCGCGATTTTTAGTTAATTTAATATGTCTCATGATAGTTATTATAAAAATGAGACAGTCCCTCGTTGAAATGTTCTAATGACTAAAAATAAAACTTATCGAGTTACGCTACGAACGCACGACGCGATTGTCACCCGTCGCGATGGTGGAATTGAAATTTACTTTCAAAAATCACAAGACCGCAGTCGCGATTGCGATTATCGCCCGCAAATTTGGCTTGATTATCACTTGGCTTGGTTAAACAATCAGTTGAGGTCCAGGGTTGCGGGCCCACAACTACGCCGGACGCGGGAGAAAATCGCTTCGTGACTCCTTAGTCTTAGGAATTCTGAATTCGATGTCCGACTTTAGGTTAAATGACTGCACGGTTGGTGCGGTGGCTGGGCAACCAGCTGCCGTGTAACGTGTTGCGGGTTCGATTCCCGCACGGAACAACACTTTTTGTGATCCACAAATTGTTGTTTCGAGTCTGGATGTCATTGTGTATGTGAACTTGTATGTTTGTAAACGCACCCACGACACAGGAGATAAACCCAGTGTGGGGCAACGTTTATTTTTTAAAAGAAAAAACAAAATATAACTCTAATATAGATCAATAATACCTATTTATTTGCCAAGACATTGTTATAACATGTAATCACGGTATCATCATATATTATTACCGTGATATAGGTAATCTTTGTCCAAGACTCGAATTCAGATTAAGGTAGATAACTAATTTTAATTTTAATGTCCGTCTGGTAGATCATTTTAAAACATTAGAATCATTAGACACGTTTTCTTTATTTTCTTACAGAAACAAATACTTTCGACGATATATTGATTTGAAATATCACGTGGCGTCACTTTTGTCTACGTTTTATACTCAAAAATGACGTTTTAGCCCCCACTCCTAAACTTGGATTCGTTTTATCTAAGTATTATTGTCTTATACGACAAACAAAATTAAAAAATACGTGTCTAATATTTTTTCATTACCTGACGGGCTGAATCGATTTTTAATTTTCATACTCTGTCATCATCCCTATTCTATACTTAGGCTCTAGACAGACGAACCGCATTTAAACTACAATCCAACGTCAAATAGCAGTTCGGATGCAGTTTCAATGCAGTCGTGTCACGACTGCAATTGAACTACAAACCAAACGTGCAATTAAATCGCAGTTCTATTGCAGCCATGACCAAACAGTTGCAAACCAAACGTGCAGTCCGATTGCAGTTCTATTGCAGCCATGACCAAACAGTTGCAAACCAAACGAGCAGTCCAATTGCAGTTCTATTGCAGCCATGACCAAACAGTTGCAAACCAAACGAGCAGTCCAATTGCAGTTCTATTGCAGTCATGACCAAACAGTTGCAAACCAAACGTGCAGTCCGATCGCAGTTCTATTACAGTCATGACTAAACAGTAGCAAACCAAACGAGCAGTCCAATTGCAGTTCTATTGCAGTCATGACCAAACAGTTGCAAACCAAACATGCAGTCCAATTGCAGTTCTGTTGCAGTCATGACCAAACAGCTGCAAACCAAACGAGCAGTCCAATTGCAGTTCTATTGCAGTCATGACCAAACAGTTGCAAACCAAACATGCAGTCCAATTGCAGCTCTATTGCAGTCATGACCAAACAGTTGCAAACCAAACGTGCAGTTCTGTTGCAGTCATGATCAAACGGCTGCAAAGCAAACGAGCAGTCCGATTGCAGTTCTGTTGCAGTCGTGTCAACTGTGTTCAGACTGTATCCGAACTGCAATTTGCAGTTAGATTGCAGTTGAAATGCGGTTCGTCTGATAAGAGCAATAGTAGTCAAGATTGTAGATAGATTAAGTACCTACATACATGTAGCATCTTATAATAATAATCTGTACTCATCTAGTCAGCCGTGGTGATAATTAAACCACTTAATTTATTACACTAATAAAATATTTACATCAACTATAAAGTTTCATTACCTACCTATGTCACATTTTTAAAACAAAATGCTTTTAAACTTCTTTTAGGTCTCTGCCTCGAATTTTGCGGGCAGCGGGGCGGCGGCGCGAGAGCGGCAGCATATTATGCGTAAAATCAAATGCCGGTTCATTTCACAAAGTCAAAATCATTTATTTCAGTTAGACCAGAAAGGCACTTTGAACGTCAACAAAAATATAAAAAGTGAAGTTATATCGGTTACCGGATACCGCTTCTCGAAAACAGCGGCGGGGGTAGTGGGCAACGAGCGGTGCCCGCCGCGCCGCCGTCCCCAAAATTCGAGGCAGAAACCTTAGTGGCAGTACCGTCTTTACCATAAGGGCACTCGGACCCTTTGCCCAGGGGACCCCGAAGGCCCGACAATTTCTACGAAGGAAACACACTCGTTGCGAACACAACCGGATGCTGCTGCAACTTGTAGGAGGTTCGATTCCCGCACGGAGCAAATCTTTGTGTGCTCCGCAAATTGTTGTTTCAGGTCTGAGTGTCATGTGTATGTGAAGTTGTATATTTGGAAAGGTACCTACGCACTATACAAGTGAAAACATATGTATCTTTTAGCTAAACACTGTTCAAATTCCCAATACGCTCGAATACTGAAAGGCTACTGAATTTTAACTTGTACTTAAATATAATGCTGTCTCTGTCATTTTACATAGAATTTGTAGAGACAGAACTATACTTGAGCGCGACTTAAAATTTAATAGCCTTTCAGTATTAAGACATAACATCGAGAAATCTTCACTTTTCCTCAATTCTTAAAATGAGTCCCAAATTCGACGCTAGCGCCAATTTCGTCCGACCTAATCCGGCCACACAATACTTTCAATCCACGGCACATAGAATCGGACTCGAGTATAGATGCCCGGTTGACCGGAGTAGCCACAGTTTCGACCGTATGACGTCACTCCTATCACTGTGTGCAGACATCGCGAGAGGACCGGCTTGGCTTGTAAGGGACCTCCACTGTCACCCTGTGAAAGAAGTGAGCAATAGAGTTGAATTTATATCTTCACAAACGTGGTGTGTAGCTATGCAGACTGTACAATAACATAGGGCCCCCATATTTTGCCGTCAATGGGCTTGGAAATCGCGCCCTTATTACCTAAGGTTCAATTTATACTAGGGCAGAGTCGAAGCGCACCGAAGCGTCAAATTCTTCACAACAAAAGCGAAGCCGTACGAATGCGCGCGTATTCGTGAGTATACGCGCGCATTCTTTGACTAGTAGTACGTAATGAGCATTAACTGCATGGATTATATAGGCATTCATATTTTTGCACCAGGTAAATTAATTTTGCCTCGTTGGCCGAGTGGTCGCAAGTGCGACTGCCGGGCGAGGGGTCACGGGTTCGATTCCTGGGTCGGGCAAAGTATCACTGGGTTTTTTTTTTAAATCTCAGTAGTAGCACGGAGTCTGGAAATGTGCCCGGTTTATGGCAATAGGCTCTACCCCTATTACATGGGACTCATAACATAAATAGTGAAAAGTGGATGTTACTTCTGTGTGCACCTCTGCCTACCCATTCGGGGATAAAAAGGCGTGATGTTATGTTATGTAAATTAATTATTCGTCCTCATCCACCCGCTAGTGGGCGCGTGGATACGCGAGAATCCGCGCGCACCAATTAGCGTTGGTCACGCGCAGACCTGCGAATTAAGAAGAATGCGCGCGTCTTTTTAAAATCTCGGAAGCAATGTGTGCGTTACGCTGTTGGGTTAAGGTTGAATTTGTTATGATCAGTTTCGAATAGACGCTTCGATGCGCTTCGACTCTGACCTAGTATAAATTGACCCTAAAAGGAGAAAACGTTTTCATTTTTCACTCATTATGAGAGGAGTTGTCGTGTGATTGAAGTTACCTCCCTAATCCCCGAATATCATTAGGATATTGAAGATTGTTGGGGATCCTCAAGAAGTCTGCATTGCTTTACCGCTTCTGGTGTTTCAGGTGTGCAGGTATTGTCATTTAGATATATTAATATTACCTCGCAAGTGTCTCTAGCCCCCAACTCGTCTCCATAGCACATCTGTATAGTGCCGTTGAAGCCAGTCAGTAGGTGGCGATGTGGGGGGTAGTGGACTGCGCACACTTCCTCGTAGTACGACTGGAGGGAGACCTAAAATTATACGTAAATATAATATCTATATGACTGCCTCTCTGCCGACATCGCGAATTCGCGACATCTGCCTAATCGAACCAATAAAACTATGTAACTAGAGATTTGTATTGTAAAGCTGATTAAAAAAGAGTAAGCTATGGAGTTTCTTGCTCGTTCTTCTCCATAGGAATCTACACCTTGGAATGAGCAACTAGAATCACTTTTAAATTTTTGTTATTGACGTTCAAAAGTGCCTTCTTTTCACTATTTATGTTATGAGTCCCATATCATATCCCAATAGGGGGTGAGCCTATTGTCATATACCAGGCACAATGGGGTAGACGACTAATTTTTATTTTAATGTCCGTCTGGTAAATTATTTAAAAACATTAGACACGTATTTTTTATTTTCTTAAGGAAACGAATAGTTTCGAAGATATATTGATTTGAAATGTCGCGTGACGTCACTTCTCAGTACATTTTATACTAAGAAATGACGTTTTAGCCCCCACTCCTAAACTTTGATTCGTTTTATCTAAGTATTGTTTTATTATACAACAAAATAAAAAAAATACGTGTCTAATATTTTTTTATTACCTAAGTTACGGACTAATTATATTTTTAATTTTCATACCCTGTCATCATCCCCATTCCAGACTCCATGCTACTACTGAGAAAATTTTAAAAACTCAGTTAGGTAAACTTTGCCTAAACCGGGAATCAAACCCAAGACCTCTTGATCAGCAGTCACATTTGCAACGACTTGGTCAACGAGGCGGGGTAGCGTTTTGAAAAAAACTTACAGCTTGCAACGTGTCAGCGAGCTCCATATTATGTCCGAGCGCCCCCCAGCCGGTGGCAGTGACCACTCCGAGGAAGTGATCGTCGATGTTCAGGCACGCTGGGTACACGTGAAGGTTGAACGTTACCCTGGAATATTAGGACAAGGTTTTAAAGACCAGGTTAACAGGTTTGATATTAAAACTACCGCCGTATTGGTTGGTGACAAGCTCTACTCGACAAGGTAAAATTTAAAAGCATCAGAAATCTGTGGTTATACATATATACAAGTGTGGGAGAGCCATGCTTCGGCACGAATGGGCCGGCTCGACCGGAGTGAGATAACGCTTGCGTTGTGTTTCGTCGTGTGAGTGAGGTTACCGAAGGCCCAATTACCCCCCTCCCCAGTCTCCCTGAATCCCCCACAATCCTCAAATTCACAATTCCCAAAACGCCGGTAACGCAATTGCTGTGTCAGGTGTCCATGGGCGGCGCCGATTGCTTACCATCGGATGATCCGTCTCCTCGTTTACCGGCTTATGCCATTAAAAAAGACTATAGAATGGTCTTCAAAACAAAAGCTACCTACTGGGCCACTAACCTTGTACTAGTTTCCAGCAGAGCTATATCGTGGTACTTGGAGGGCGCGTGGTAGTCAGGATGTGGCACTATACGGGACACGTGGTACCGGTGCCAGCGCTCCGGCGGGTCAGTCCGTCGTAGGATACCCATCGCTACGAAACGGACTTTACCACTGAAATTGTAAGGTCTTATTTAAGATGGTGATTTGACAGAAAGAAAAAGAATAGTAGTTTAATAATCACACTGTGTTATAAATTGTTATGTGGTAAGATAAATAGAGGAGGAGCTTGCTGCGCAATTTGTCACTCTATCCCCGCATGGGACAAACTCTTTATGTAAACCGTAAATAGTTGTTTCCTGGGCCTAAGTGTGAAATAATGGATTATTTTATGGAATACGCGACATACCAACAGACCGATCACCTGATGGTAAGCGATCAGCGGCGCCCATGGACAACAACAGGAGGAGGCCCTCTTTTAAAAAGGAGTACGCTCTTTTCTTGAAGGTTTGAAGGTCGTACCGGTTCGGAAATACCGCCGACGACAGATCATTCCACAGTTTTGCTGTGCGAGGCAGAAAGCTACGTGAGAAACGCACAGTTGGCACATGGATATTTATATAATTACTAGCTTTTACCCGCGGCTTCGCTCGCGTCACAAAAGGATAAAAGCCAATGTGACATATACCAATACACACAGCGCCATCTATACCAATACTTTTATTTTCCCTCGGGAACATCAAATTTTTCCGGGATAAAAAGTACCCTATTATTTAATCCAGACTTCTAACTATACATCTGCAAAAATTAAAAGCAATCGGTTTAGTAGTTACGGCGTGAAATCGGAACAAATAAACAAACTCACTTTCCGATTTATAATAATAATATTATATATAGTAAGGATAGTAAGGAAGTAAGGATGTTTGTAAACGGTTTAGGCCGGTAACGCACTTGTACCGCCTCGGGTGTCTCATGTGATTCGTCTGTTCGTTTACCGGCTTATCCCATTCTTACTATTATAAATCTGAAAGTGAGTTTGTTTGTTTGTTGCGCTTTCACGCCATAATATCTTCTAAACCGATTGCTTTGAATTTTTGCAGGCGTAAAGTTATAAGTCCGGATTAAATAATAGGGTACTTTTTATCCCGGAAAATGTTGATATTCTCGAGGGAAAACAAAAGAATTGGTATAGATGACGCTGTGTGTATATGTCACATAGGCTACTTTTATCCTTTTGTGACGCGAGCGAAGCCGCGGGTAAAAGCTAGTAAAGAAATAAAAATGGAAACGTGCTCTGGAGAAAATCCCAAAGTAAGGGTTAAATACCACGTTGTTAAGAAAATCTTATCTCAAGAACTTTATCATCAAGCTACGAAACTGAAATACTAGCTTTTTTAACGCATACGACTATACGAGTGAGATAACTTACAGCACAGCACTAGAGATGCAGTGTCCAGCAGTAAGTATGAACCGGTCACTGATTAATGAGCCGCCACACAGCCAGTCCGCTGTGTCCATCGACCCGCCGTAGCCGAGCAACGCCTGGAAATATCGAACACAATTCGTTTAGATTCGCTAAATGGGTACATAATTAAATCTACATACATTTTATTACTAAGTACTTAGGAGAGCAATGACAAAAAATAATGATCCTAGAACTTATAGGCTAAAAGTAAAAATCGCGGGTTGCTCACGTGAATATACTGAGAAAAGCTCTATTATTATGTTTATTTAGTTAATTAATTAATATCATTTAAACTGTTAATGTCTAATTGGTGGCTTGTTCGTCAGCGAGTTAAGGGGTCAGTAGAATACCAGCGTAAGGCCCTGTCTTGCGTATGCTTTCTAGCTGGCTGGCTACAGGATTTATGATTTTGAAGTTCTCAAAAGGTAAACATGGGCCCATCAAGTAGGTATAAAAAATATATAAAAAAAAACGTCTACTACCAACACATAAAACTTTTTTTATGTATTTTTTTAAGGGGGGAAATTCATCAAGTGACTGCTCCCGCCTGGGTGAGGCGGGAGGGAGTGTCAGACTCTTACTGACTAAAATCCACCCCGTTCCTTCTCCTGCACGTCGAACCGGAGCCCCGGTAACCCGTTAGGTTCTCCGCGACACACACATATGACTAGGTATGTATGTACGTACCATATGCGGAAACTGTCCCCTCCTAGCGTCCTGTCCAATATGTGCTGCATACACTCCGTATCTATGGGAGTACTTGTAGCACTGCTCCTGCTCGTGCCAGAGCTTCACCAGTCCTGATGTAGGACCGCAGCCTTCGTAGGGCAGGTTAGCCAGATGTTCCAGACATACTGCGGATGAGAAAGGTTAAATTAAGTTATGAAACTGTTCTATTTTTATATTATAATTTTCGTGAAACACACGAAATTACTTATTATATTTATACTACATTGTTTGCGGGTCTGGAGTGTACCACAGAGAGCTCGGCGTGTAACACTAATTTTGCGTTGACTCGGGATTCGAATCCAACATCTGCGCAGCCGCCGGCAAGCGCATGAATCAAGGTAGAGGCCACTGGGCCCGCACCACCGCAGAGCCAAGCAGCCAGTAGTAGCGCGACAGTCACCGCGTCGCGAGCCGAACAATGCTGCTCATGAATATGAGCCTCTAGCATGGCTTGAAACTAGTCGAGTTCCTCACCAAAGAGTTCTATTACGTGATTAAGCCAAAAACATAATAATTAAAACTGTTCTACTAAACTCTGGTTCCGAAATCCTTACCAGACGTCTTGTTTGGAAAATGAAGTGATTAAGAAAGAATTACCTAAATTATTATTCCATCTGTTTAGGTAATTAACTAAAGGTAAGCAAACAAAACCACGTGACACAGATATACTTAACCTTCTATTATTTCAAATATTTCTCGTGTTTTAATTTAAACTAAATTCACTTTAAAATCGTTGATTTGTCACACACAGACATACAAGCACAAATGCCTAAATCGTACAAGAGCCTAGCCTATGGGTCTATTTCATTATCATGTTTAAATAGAAACTATTCTGAATCTGATGTACGGATTTCTTTCTTGTACGGATATGTGTCTTTGGGCCAAGTTTCTTCAATATATTTGAACACATTAATTACAAACGATGAATAACCTAAACTTAAATAACTTAATAACAAAAACAAAACAAAGAAACAAGATAAATTCTACAAAATAGGAACGCGAGCGCAAACGACAAGAGAACTGTCAATGGCGCCTTTTAACCGACTAAACGTAATACACGCTACTTTCATTGTCGCGCTACACCTTAATTGGACTCTTTAATTTGACAACATTATCTAATGCTTCGTTCATAAAGGTTTTGGATACCTGGGATTTTAGGCTCTTTATGGTGTCTATTGTAATGAAATATTATATTATTTAATAAATGTTATTAAATTATTATGCTCAAGCATATATATATAATATTTACTAAGAAATAAGTGAAAAGGAACAGAAACATAACATTTAATAGAGAAAACTGTCGTAAAAATGGAAACAATTTTATTTTCTTATGAAGTATTTTGAGTCATGGAAATGTCAACTATAAAGAACTCTTTTTATGGTTTGTTTACAAATAGTTAACTACCTAAACAGACGGAGATATATTCGTTTAAAATTGACAACATAACGATTCGTTATTGTGTTAAATCCCACGGCTCTACAGAAAAGGGCGTAAAACAGCAGTCACGTTGAATTCCAGCGTGTCATTTGGGTAAAAATTTAATTTTTTCCTCACAAAATGCTGGAAATTGGCTTTTTTTGTATGGCATAAGCCGGTAATCGAGCAGACGGATCACCAGATGCCTTGGAAATTGAGGAGTTATCACTAGAGGAGTTATCCTCTAGTGTTGCAGATGTTCATGGGCAACGTCGGGTGAACCGACTGCTCTGTTTTCCCCGTAAGTTATCTATTAAACGAATTCGTTTCCTTACCATCATAAGCTTTCCGTCCGGTCCTGAAGTGTATTCCTCCTAATTTGTCCACGATAGCGTGGCTGAAAACACAATAGTAATTTTAATTACAATAGGTACTTATAACTCTTAACATACCTACGACTGAGTCGAAAATTGTATGATTTTTGATCCGATTAATGACTTCTTGAGTCTAGACAGACGGACCGCATTTCAACTGTAATCCATGTCATGTCAAATCTGTGTCATAGTGCAATTGAACGGCAAACCAAACGTGCTGCCCGACTGCAGTTCTATTGCAGCCATGACCAAACGGTTGCAAACCAAACGTGCAGTCCGATTGCAGTTCTATTGCAGTCATGACCAAACGGTTGCAAACCAAACGTGCAGTCCGATTGCAGTTCTATTGCAGTCATGACCAAACGGTTGCAAACCAAACGTGCAGTCCGATTGCAGTTCTATTGCAGTCATGACCAAACGGTTGCAAACCAAACGAGCAGTCCAATTGCAGTTCTATTGCAGTCATGACCAAACGGTTGCAAACCAAACGTGCAGTCCGATTGCAGTTCTATTGCAGTCATGACCAAACGGTTGCAAATCAATCGAGCAGTCCAATTGCAGTTCTATTGCAGTCGTGTTAACTACGTTAAAACTGCATTCCAACTGGATTTGCAGTTGGATTTGCGGTTCAAATGCGGTACGTCTGTTTAGAGCCTAAGTCTGCTTTCAGTGTAGAAAAGATTAGAGAGTCATGCAAAGAGAAAAATTATCAGGCACCTATCGATTTAGAACATTATCTAACGTCACAAGTAAGTGCAACAGGATGTACTCGCTTACTTTATATGCCTGACCTTCTCGCAGTCGGTGCAACACACGATGGGGACATTGCCTTGGAACGAGCAGATCTGGGAAACATAAAATTATGAATAAGTATAAAACTCTACCTATCTCCAGTTATGTATAGTCTTTTATGAAGAAACTAGCTGTTACCTCCAAACTTTGTCCGCGTAGAATATAAAATTTTTGGGCATAACTTTTTTTGTTTCAATTTTCCAAAATAAAAATAGCCTATGTTTATAAATACAAATGTAGTCTCTAAACATCAGAAATAAGGTCTATAATGTAGAAGAGCAGTCACCGGGGACCGCTTGGGGATAATTTTATTGTTTTTAAGTACTGTTTTACTACCTCATTGACGGAGTGGTCGCAAGTACGACTGCCGGGCAAGGGGTTTCGGGTTCAATTCCCGGGTCGGGCAAGTATTAATGGTATTTTAAAAATAACCTCAGTAGTAGCATGGTGTTTGTAAATGTGCCCAGTATATGTGGCAATAGGCTCATCCCCTATTACATGGGACTCGTAACATAAATAGTGAAAAGTGAGTGTTACATTGTACAGTGGCATTAAATACCGTAATGTGCACCTCTGCCTACCCTATCGGGGATAAAAGGCGTGAAGTTGTGTTATGTGTTTTTAAGTAATCAAAGAATATTGTTTTAACCTGCGGATAGCTCTTCTTTTTGACATCTTGTATCATGGACAGACATTGGCAGGCGTTCACACACGTCCCATTCTTACCGCGGCCGTCAGAACATTGGGAGCCTGAAAAAAAATTTTTGTTTTTATGAATAGACGAATCACCTCATCATAGTCGCATTCTGAAGAGAAAATACACTTTTATATTACTAAAACTCACTCCTAAGTGTAAAACAATTTTCTGAAAACCACATCAAAATTGGTTGAGCCAATCGTGAGAAAATCGTGCACAGACATACAGACATACAAGCAGGTCAAATTGAGATTGAGATTTTTTTATAAAACTTGCGTTAGATATTTATAAAGTAACGACGAGATGACGAAAAGGACGACTTGTGGGAATCCCAAGATAGAATTAGCAACCCACTAGTTTTTGTCCAACTCTTCATTCGAGTGGAAAAATTACTGTGAGCTAGAGTCTATTTGTATTTATTTGCAATCGGGTACTTGCCAACTAGACAAATTCAATACTTTTTTCGAACTGTCAAAAACGATAGTTTTCTATGAATTTTGTAACGAGATTGTGTATTGTGACGTCACGTTTTTTTAGCGTCAAACAGCATACTTATTTCTAAAAAAAATGCTGGAAAAATACTAAAATTAAGTTGGTCGTAAAATCGATTAATGAAAGTGTGATTGTTTTTTAATATTTTATTGTATTAAACAGTCGAAATAATTTATTTTTGATTAAGGCTAGTTAGTACCTAATTGTTAGCTTAAGGTAGGTACTTCTCGAGTCGCGGAGAACCTAACGGTAACCGGGGCTCTGGCTCGACGTGCAGGAGAAGGAACGAGGTGGTTTTTAGTCAGTAAAAGCCTGACACTCCCTCCCGCCTCACTCAGGCGGGAGCAGTCATTCGATGATTTTCCCCCATTAAAAAAAGTACTTCTCGAATTTAAGGGTGCGGATTCAGAACCTGGTCAAAGTGAAATAATGTAACTCCTTCCAAGACTGATCGTGAAGAAATAAACTCATAATTTATGTCCTTTTTGACTTTTTTTTAAACTACATAACTAATTTAATTTTAATAACGGATGAAAACTTAGATAACAAAATTATGAATAAATATTAAAATTAACAAAAAATAAAACTAAAAAAAGAAAAATTGTAAGCTTCGGATTATTAATCACCAATTTTCCTTGAGCAATCATTATGATCAGGCTTATTCTGTCCCTGGAATTTGCAGCTGATGAATTAAGTAGGTAGAGATCCAAAATCGATTAGGCAGGAGCATATGATTGAAGCTCAAATCACTTTCGTAGATTTTAAAGTAAGAATAATATAAAAAAACATACCTTCTTCTATATCAAAATCACATTTTGACGAATAAAAATTAAATATCAACACGTTCATTATAACGATAAAATATTTGTTATAGTACATTTTTAATTAAAAAATAATAAACTTCTAATATTAATATAATAAATATTTCACTAACGTTCACTCACACAACAGTATAAAATCAAACTGATTCTTGTATAATTCTTTTTTTAAACAAAATAGATTTCGAAATTATCATTTCAATCAGGATTGTAAAAAAAAACATCAATAAAAAACTATGACCAAGTCAGTTTCTTAGATGGTTTTTTTTCCTAGCGTTCATTTGTAATCTGTGGTTGATGAGAGTCGTTATGATAACTCATTATTTAACACCAAAGTACTTGAGTATGAATACTTAATTCAAGATTTTGTCTAGTTTTTGTGCATAATGCATTGTAATAGCTCTGATTGAGGACGTCCTTACTACAACACAAGTAGTTTTAAAAGGATTATTGGTTAATTTAAGCTGAATTTTTTAAGATAAAGTTTATGTTAATGCACATAGTATTACAGTCTTACTAAATCGATAACATGTAAAGTTTTTTTTTAATGGCTTAAGCCGGTAAACGGGCAGACGGATTACCTGATGGTAAGCATCGGCGTCGCCCATGGACACTCGGAACACCAGAGGCGTTATAAGTGCGTTACGGGCCTTTTGGGGATTAGGGGTTTTAGGATCGTTGGGATTTCAGGGATTGGGGAGATTGGGGAAAGGGAAGGTAATTGGGCCTCCGGTAACCTCACTCACACAAACCATAATTTGGTACTTTTAAAACGTCAACAAATACAAAATAAATTTTAGTTTGTCGATCAGTCCGTCAGCGAAGCTAGATGCTCGTTGCAAAATATAGATTCGAATGGAGAAGAACGAGCAAGAAACTCCATTCGTTACTCTTTCAAAATAAAAAGTAAATTTGTAACCGGACTTGGCATAGTCCTCTACCAAACTCCTTCGAGTTTTCCTTATTATATACATTTGTTGTTAGACATCGCACAGAACCCAAAACTTGACCTCTACTTGCGTAAAGATGACACAAAACTGGTTGGAACTCCAAGTTGTAATCTACAACACTGTGGCGTCACTTGATATAAATCCTTTTTAATTAGTAACTTTGATAGAGTATGTCATGCGGTCATTTAAAGACAACGGCCATTTCGAGTTGAGGAGAATCAAACAATATTAGGTACCTAGTTGTTAGTTGTCTTTTTTTTATGGCGTAAACGAGCAGACGGATCACCTGATGGTAAGCAAAATGAAAGTGTAATTGCGCATCCGGTAACCTCACTCACACGACGAAACACAACACAACGTTGTTTCACGTCAGTTTTCTGTGAGGCCGTGGTATCACTCCGGTAGAAATGGTCTACGGTCTCTCACACTTAAAAATGGAATCAATGAATTGATGAAAACAAAAAAAATCTTGACGTCAACATCTAGTTCTTATTTAATGTTAACAACAACGTGAACAAAAGCCCGTATATTCACATTTCAACACAGACGTAGATAAGATGAACGCATAACAAATAAGCAGTGTGCGGATCTTCAAAAAATATAATAATCAAGTGACTTTTGATTTGCATCAAGCATAAAGCTGCGCTTCCACAGAGGTTAAGCTGCGCGGAGCTGAGCAGAGAATTATTAAAATTAACCAATCACATTCTGCTCATCATCATCTCTGCTCTGATTGAGTGGAAACAGTGTTAGCGGAGTTGAGAACATTTAATTTTGTTCACATTACAATGTATACAACGCTGTGTAGCGCGGGGCAGTGCAGTATCAAGCTTAGTGGAACTGTCCATCAATTCATCAACAGCCTATAAATGCCCACTGCTGAGCAAAGCCTCTTCTCACACGGAGGTTTGAGCATTAATCACCACGTTTGCTCAATGCGGGTTAGCGACTACAAACTTATAATTAGAAATTATAAGCCCAGGTTTCCTCACGATGTTTTCCTTCACCGTTTGTCAGTGGTGTCTGAATAATCTTAGAAAGTACATATAACTCGGAAAAAGTCACATTGGTACTTGCCGTTGGTAGGTTTCGGACCCGCACCCTCATGCATGAGAAGCGGTCTTAAACCTCCGGGCTACCAGGACATTCTGTTCGACATTCATTTCAGTGGAGCTGTGCTATGCTGGAAAAGAAAATGTATTCACAGTCCTGTTCAACTGATCTGCGCTCGGCTCCACTTCCCCCAGCTCCACAGCTCAGCTCTACACCTCATCTCTGCGCAGCTTTAATGGAAAAACTTATTTGTTCACACGGCTCTGCCCCACTCTACTCCACTAAGCCCAACTTCTGTGGAACGCACCCTTTTTTTAAGGGGGGAAAATCATCGAATGACTTTTCCCGCCTGGGTGAGGCGGGAGGGAGTGTCAGACTCCTACTGACTAAAAACCACCCCGTTCCTCCTCCTGCACTTCGAGCCGGAGCCCCGGTAACCCGATAGGTTCTCCGCGGCTCCGTATCGGCATCAGGTCTCCTATAGTACATAAGGGCCACTATCTCCATAAGCGCTTGGCAGGCGTATTGGAGTTCATGTTTATCAGAGAACGTTACTGTCCGGGCTCTCTTTAATGTGTAGTCTCTTAGTCGGCGTAGTTACACCCACCACAAATACATAATATTATTACATTCTACTCTGGTCGCCATCATGACACGGTACTGTAGTAAAATCCATGTAACTCAAAGTCCAGACGTTATTTAAATGATGTTGTTCTTGTTATGTTAAAAACAATTTGTTTACCTATAGACAATCGCTCAGCTGGATAATAGCAACACGCCGCGACGCCGACGTAGGTAGTTGATATGCACGTGAAAATTTGAATATTATGGAAAGGCATTGATTCACTATTATTTAAATTTGTTAACCTGTTTATGATGTGATTAAAACTGGCTAAAGATGCCACTGACTGGCGGATGAAGGGGTCCGTACAAACATATTGAAGATGAAAACCATTGTTTCTTCAGAATCCAAATCGTCAGGGATTTGATGATGATCACAACCCCCGGGCTGGAGGGCTGACCTTTGTTTTTTTTTTTTTTGATGACGATAGGAAACCTTCAAACAGCGCCTAGCTTTTTGGGGAGAAAGACTAGGGAGTGTGGGATTCGTACCTCATTAAAACCACCCCGGTTGCCACCCTCAGCACCTGTAATGGGCACCGGGTCCTCTAAAGAAACCTGCTCCGGAGCCCCCACATTGCAACGCCTGTTACAGCACATTTCTAGGGAGACCTGCGTGTCCCTTGATCGTAGCGGGAGCCCTCCTGGTACCGTCCACTGACAAGGCTAAGCTTCTGGTTTTACTATGTACAGCGAAGCTCAATGCGTAATTGTAACAGTAAAGCTCTGAAGCTGATCTGTTCAAGAGACTCGGTGTTCCTTTACAGGTGTTAATGGTGACCACTTGGGTGATTTTAGTGAAATAAGAATCCCAAACTCCTTAGTCTCTCTCCCTAAAAGCTTTAAGGCATTTTTTGAAGGTTTCCACCGGTACCGCCTAACCCAATCTTATTTTCATAATATAACATCTCCCCGTAAGCAGAAGTGCACAATCACATTACGGCACTTAATGCCACTGTACGATGTAACACCCACTTTTCACTATTCATGTTATGAGTACTACGTAATAAGGGGTGAGCCTATTGCCATATACCGGGCACAATTAGGATTAAGAAAGGGTATGAAAATTAAAAATCTAATTAGTCCGTAAGTTAATATATTTTTTTATTTTGTCGTATTGTAAAACAATACTTAGACAAAACGAATCAAAGTTTAGGAGTGGGGGTTAAAACGTCATTTCTACGTATAAAATGTACATAGAAGTGACGTCACGCGACATTTCAAATCAATATATCGTCGAAAGTATTCGTTTCTGTTAGAACTTAAAAATATGTATCTAATGATTTAAAATAATCTACCAGACGTACATTAAAATAAAAATTAGGCATCTACCCTATTCCAGACTCCTTTCTTTCAGACATTTCTTATTTTCAATCGTTATTTTATTGTAATTTAGGACTTGCACAAACATTTTAAGACCAAAATTAGCCCAATAGGGTAGAAGCCCAATTTTTATTTTAATGTCCGACTGGTAGATTATTTTAAATCATTAGACACGTATTTTTTATTTTCTTACAGAAACATGGCTTTTAGTGACTGATCAGTGATATTACTAGAACAAAATAATTAAAAACGCGGAAATAATTTAGTAGGCACCTAACCACGTTGAAATAATAATAAATAAACAATACCCAAAAAAAATCTTGATCATCTTCAACGGAACCCTAACTTCAGGCTATTAGATTAAATAATTTTTATAATCTTGTGACGACCCGGTCGGGCGACTGACATTTCGATAAAAAACCGACTATTCACAATAATTAAACCTTGAACTTGCCAATACGGGCAACACGTATTTGTTTCAAATCGTAAATTATATTTCCTCTCACGTTTATTGGTAAATATTTTTTTATGGCCGTTTTTGGGACATTCCCGCATTTTGTTTTACTGCCCCCTGCTGTGTTGCTAAGTATTTTGGTATGTTAAAAAACCTAAATTTAGGAGACATTAATGTACTTTATGTCAATTTCGAAATTGGTGGACCAGTCGCACTGTCGGTGTCCACGTCTCGGCTCCGTATGTCATTACTGGAAGGACGCAGTCGTTGAAGACTTTTGTCTTCAGGCTTTGCGGTATCTGTGACGAGAAGGCTTGATTAAGTTTTCTATATGCTGCCCAGCCAAACTGAATTCTTCTACGGGCCTCCTTCTCGAAGTTGTTCCTACCGAGGCGAGCGATAGCTAAGAGGCGACCCGTTGAGGACAATTTTTAGAGATTTCATTAAATCTTTTATAATTTCTAGAGGATTCGTATATCGAAAACTAAAGTCGTGTTGACATGATTCTACCTCTATGTTGTTCTTAAGCAAAGTTACAGAGAGGTTTTTTTTTTCAAGGGGGGAAAATCATCGAATGACTTCTCCCGCCTGGGTGCGGCGGGAGGGAGTGTCAGACTCTTCCTGACTAAAAACCACCCCGTTTCTACTC